TACATGATAATTAGGGTAGCCTTAGACACAATATAATCATGATAGGGTAACCTAGACACAATATAATCATGATAAATAGGATAACCTAGAAACAATATAGTCATGATAAATAGGATAACCCTAGACATAATATAATCATGATAAATAGGGTAAATATTCTAACACTGTTAAATTTAACTTAAGGTAAGTATTTAGTTGTTCGTGGTAACTTGCTACAGAATTTATTTTGCATTGAAATCAAAATTATGTATACTGGGATGATTCGATCTTGATTTTCTGTAAAACTTGGCTATCAGTTATTCAGAGGTTAGAGAATCTGAAAGTAAGGCTCACTCTCAAGCTGAAATACTAAAAAATGCTTTGGATGAGCATAGCCTAGAGTTGAGAGTAAAAGCTGCTAATGAAGCTGAAGCTGCTTGTGAACAAAGGCTTTCTGCCGCTGAAGCTGAAATAGAGGACTTGAGGGCCAAGCTGGATACGTCTGAGAGGTTGGTCTTTAGGTGTACTTTCTGTATTGAGTATGGCTTTGCTTAATCGACAAACTTGTCTATCTATTTTACTTCCCTCACAAACCCATATTTGTGCCTGTTTATTTTGGGAGAGAAATTTGTTGTTATGAAGAGTGGTTCTGATACCTTGTCATTAACCAATTAACCTAAAAGCTCAGGCTGTTAAGATACAACATCCCTTTTATGCTTTATATCTTTGGCATGTACAATTTTATTGAAATAAAAAATCTATTTTGAAATTTGTTTAACTCAAGAATGTCTTGACAGTTTATTTTTTTTTTTGTTTTTTTCAGTTGTTTGTTAGAATGTTCTTTATCAGATAGAAGTCCAATGTGTCCTCTTAGTATTTTCAATTTTTTATATTGACTGTTGTCATATGAATGGAATAAACCTTTACAAACTAGCTTGTCTGTTAATATGCTGATACATACCATTTCCATGTTTTATCTGTCCATGTTCAGGGGTATTTTGGAGCTAACTGAGGCTATTAAAGTTAAAGAAGCTGAGGCAGAGGCATATATATCTGAAATTGAGGTTTGCTATCTGACTTTTTCTCCCCCTTCTTACTAGATGAACAGAAATAAGTGGATTTGTTTACACTAACTCTCATTTCTTGTGATATAATTATTTGATTGCTATCATGAAGACTATTGGTCAAGCATATGAAGATATGCAGACACAGAACCAAAATCTGTTGGACCAGGTGATTGAGAGGGATGACTATAATATTAAGGTATATCTTATTTTCATCTTCAGTAAACACTATCTCATTATGATCTTCACCGTTTTTCCATGAACAACAGCAATGCATAGGTTATTTTCCTGGCTTTTGCTGTTCTGGTTGATGAAAAATATCTGGTTCGACTTTGTAGCTAATATATTAACTTCTGCTGTTTTGTGTAGAAATATATGTCAATATTTTGAAGAACTGATTATTCATGAATCCACATGTCAAAGTTAGCATCTGGTTAATTTATAGAAAAATCATTTTAAAAGGGTGGACTACTTAAGTGGATTTTATAGATCATGGATATAAGATGGAATCATTATTAGGAAGTTTTTTGTTTTTGGAGAACGTGTGAGCAGCATATTCTAGAATCAGCTCTGGATCAACCTAGAAATTTGGGATAATCAATTTTGGGAAAAATCTTAGACAATAATCAATTTTCTCAAACATCGTGAAATTTTGCTGTATGAGAATTGATTTTGGCAGGGATAAAATCTCACTCAAACAAGAACTTTTTTACCCAGAAAGTTGTGCAATTTACTAAATCCTAGTGATATTTGCTCAAATAATTCGACTTTTGGTTAGTGAGATTATGTTTTTATAATATTCTGATTCTAATGCAGCTTGTATCAGATAGCGTGAAGGCAAAACAGGCCTACAACACTCTATTGACCCAGAAACAGGCCTTAGCTAAACAACTTCAACAACTAAATACTTCAATAGAAAATTCAAAAGCGAGGATTGCACATAGTGAAGAACAGGTCCAACTTCCCCCGCTGCCAGACCCCTCCCCCCTCCACTGGTCCCTTTTTTTTTCTAATATATTGGGAAATTATGCTGAACAAGTTTGCTACAGCAGCAGTTGCTTACTGTTTTGTTAAACAATATTTTGAATCCTGCAGATGAAAAGCATTCTATCTGAAGCCATTAAGTGTAATCAAGAAGAAAAACACCTTGCGGTCACCCTGGAATTTGCAAGGTGGGAATTGGCAGATGCCGAGAAGGAATTGAAGCTGCTCAAGTCTTCTGTTTCCTCTTCAGAGAAAGAGTACGATCAAATTCAGAAAGACACGGAAGCTATTGAAATGGAATTGGAGAGTGAAAGGTATTTTTTCTTTTCAAGGAGGTTGGTCATACATCAAGTCCTGATCAGGGATAGATTTTCAAAGAAAGATTTTACATTGCCACAACTTGCAGATACAATTTCAATTCTAATAATGATCCTCTAGACTCAATAAATTGAGGGATTAGTAAGGTTGGTTAGGGGTTGAATAAACAATGAGTCGCAAAAGTAGTCTTGGAACTTAGGAATCTTGGGATATGTCGTGCAGGAGTTCAAGGAAGAAGCTAGAGGAAGAATTAAGGGAATTGAACAGCCAAATTGCTGAGCTGACTTCTGAAACTGGAGAAACCACAATACAAAAACTTGAAAAAGAAATAAGGATATGCAAGAACATGATCAAGTGTACTGTCTGCACTGATCGTCCTAAGGAGGTAACAACATGCCGACTTATCCAATTTCATTCACTTCTTGTTTTCATTGTACTTAATTTGACTTGTCTAAAAGAAGTGTCATGATTTTTATGAAATAGGGATAATAGCCCAAGTTGATTTGACATATTTTCTTGGACTTACAACTGCACATATGTAGTATCTAAGTTATAATTTACAACGGCAACAAGTAAAAGTTGATGTGTGTATTTGGCAGGTTGTGATTGTCAAATGCTATCATTTGTTCTGCAATCCATGCATTCAGAGAAATCTAGAGCTTCGGCACCGCAAATGTCCTGCATGTGGAACAGCATTTGGACAGAGTGATGTCCGTTTTGTAAAGATATGAGACAGATGTTTAGATAACTTGTAGATAGGAGTTGATTTTATTGTTTTGGTTCCTTGGTTCCTACTGTTTGTCATTGTTACCTTCATTATATAGGTTCAAACAAGCATTCCTACCTCATGAGCAATTAATATATGCATTAGAGAATTCACTTTTTGTTGCACTTTTTTGTGTCACATACTCCTTCCTTTCTCACACGATATAACTTCTCAAACTCCGACATTTTTTTACTGAATTTATACGATTCCAAACCCAGAATACGTTTGAAAGAAAATTAGTTCATTGCAGTCTGACTGAAGAGGCGTTGACCAGCTTTATTTAACCACTTGAAGTATTTTTCTGAGCTACTTTTTACAGAACAAAGCCCTTTTTTCTTTGTTTATACAGGAAGAAGTGTTGACATGTTTTACTACAGTCTAACATATTTTTAATATGCTCTGGCTTAGGAATTAGAATTAGAATTGCTTTTATAATATGCATTGTTGCGTTTCGGAAATAATTACGATTTTTATTCAGAAATGTTTGTTTTGCCAACGTAAAAATTCAAAATTTCCAGGATGTTATATCCGGATACTTTTTTCTGTAAAACGTGTCTTGTCGAAAATAATTTGTTTAAAATACTTTTATAACGTGTAATCAGCGAGCTTTTTAATAAATTCTAGATTTGTATCTATTCACATAAGTATTTTGTATAATATCTAACAAAGTCAGTTTATAACAATTCTCTATTACAAAACACAACTTATTTGTTTTACCATAATAGAATATCTTAACAACTTAATTACATTTATTTTTGTTTATATTTATACAGGGATAG